CGCACAGTGAACAAACCAACCTTCCACTAATCTTAGTAGGTGCAGGAACACAGGCGTAGTCAGGGCTGGAGAGGTGGAACGGTCAGGCTGGCCGTAGGGTTCTGTAATGACCGTATAGTTAATTTTGGTGGTACCTCTTAGTGGTCCCCAGGACAGGATTCCTCAGGGCACGGAGTCTAAGTCCCAGTCTGCTTATTCACCAGGGCCCCTGATAGTGGGGATGGACTTACTGGATCCGCCAGAGGTATGTGCAGGTACGGCTGGATCCGTGCAGGATGGATGGATGGCAGAGTAGTTAGCGTGGTCAGACGGGCCAAGTCAGCAACGTGCGGGCAGCAAGGTACCAAAGGAGCAGGCAGAGAATGGTCAAGGTCACAAGCCGGGTTCAGTAACTCACGGGCAGCGCGGTACAGGGGATCAGGCAGAAGGATGGTCAGGCAAGCCAGGGGTTCAACAGGAGACGGTCAGCAGAGGTCAGGATCAAGCCGGGTCAGCAACGAAGCAGGACCACAAGATACCAGGTACAGAGGCTCATGGGAAACCATACACCAAGGCCCAGATCACAGGCCTGGTCATGCCTTAAATACACCTTTCTGCAATCAGCCCCAGGTTTGGCTGATTGCACGTGTGAGCTTCTGGCTGCTGAGAGCACCCGCTGGTCAGCTCTGGTACTGCAGCCCACACGGCAGATGAGTCCCACCACCAGTGCTGAGTCCATTCCTGACACATGGTCGTGGGAGTGTCATGGTCTGGGGCTGCATGAGTGCTGCCGGCACTGGGGAGCTACAGTTCATTGAGGGAACCATGAATGCCAACATGTACTGTGACATACTGAAGCAGAGCATGATCCCCTCCCTTCAGAGACTGGGCTGCAGGGCAGTATTCCAACATGATACCAACCCCAAACACACCTCCAAGACGAACACTGCCTTGCTAAAGAAGCTGAGGGTAAAGCTGATGGACTGGCCAAGCATGTCTCCAGACCTAGTAAAAAGTGGTAGTGCAGCGCTAAAATTAATAAAATAATACATAAACAACAAACTAATTACATAAATAAAGCACATTAGTGATGGGTGCGTTTTTACCATATAGAATTCACACACTACAGTGATAGGTGCGTAATGACCATATAAAATTCATAAAATATATAAATTAGTGAGTCCAACTCTGGGTTACAATACTGATACCAAACGCATGTACGTGAAATGCGTTCAACTCATAAAATGTCATTCAACCTTAAAAAAGGGATCTCCAGGTGATTTAATTAAATCCCAGTGTGTAGATAGTCCTCAGGTGGGTGTGCCGATAAATATATAAAATGTGCACTCACCAGATGCGCTAATAAAACGCGTTGTATCATATAGGGTAGATCAGTCAAGGGTCCCTTCTAAGGGTGGTCTGGGATGTAGCCTGGGGGTGGGTGGCCTTCCTTGGGTAACAGGATGTTTGATAAGCCAATACATGTGGTTCAGCCTCTTCCAGGTACTGGGAAGTTCACTGGGGATCGCTAGGGGATTTAACCACTTGCCATCCTGAGGATTTACCCCCCCTTAATGACCAGGCCTCTTTTTGCTACTCGGCGCTGCACTAATTCAACTGATAATTGCGCAGTCATGCAATGCTCCACCCAAACGAAATTTACGTCCTTTTTTTCACACAAATAGAGTTTTCTTTCGGTGTAATTTGATCACCTGTGCACTTTTTATTTTTCAAGCTATAAACAAAAAAAAAAACAGAAGAAAAACAATATTTTTTATTTTCTGCTATAAAAAATATATAGTAAACTCAAAGTTGGTTATAAATTTAGACCAAAATGTATTCTGCTACATGTTTTTGGTAAAAAAAAATCCCAATAAGTGTATATTGATTGCTTTTTGTGGAAGTTATAGCGTCTACAAACTATGGTATAAATACTGCAATTTACGCCATTTTTTTGCTATACAGCACTGTGCTAGTTTAATGGACAATTGCGCGGTTATGCAATACGGTACATAAATGAAATTTACATCCTTTTTTTTCCCCACAAATTGAGCTTTCTTTCGGTGGTATTTGATCGCCTGTGCGGTTTTTATTTTTTGCGCTATAAACAAAAAAAGGCTGACAATTTTGAGGAAAAAAAAACAATATTTTGGACTTTTTGCTATAAAACATGTCCAGTAAAAAAAAAATGCAAAAATCAAATTTAGTCATAAATTTCTGCCAAAATGCATTCTTTGCTAAAAAAAAACCCCCCCAATACATGTAAATTAATTGGTTTACGTGAAAGTTATAGCGTTTACAAATGGCGGGAAAGATACTGGGATTTTTTATACTAATAATGGCGGCGATCAGCGAATTATGGCGGCGATCAGGGACTTATGGCAGTGACCAGCGTGACCAGCAACTTATGGCGGGACTGCAGGACTGCGGCGGACATTCTGACATTGGGGGGTACTGACTTGGGGTCACTGACATCCCCAAAAACACTAATACAGTGATCAGTGCAAAAAAAAAAACACTGACACTGTACTAATGGCAATGGGGAGGAAGGGGTTAACTTTATTTTGCAGGGAAGGGTTATAGGAGTGAGGGGAGTGTTTTACTAGGGGGCGGGGGTGTGTGCTGGACGGGACAAGGCTGATCGAGAAAGAGAAACTGTTCTTTCTCGATCAGCTCATCCTCGAGCTGACAGGGCAGTGACAGACAGCACAGCTACTGCAGCTGTACTCTCTGTCACTGTTTGCTGCCGATCGCCGGGACATAGCCGCAAAGGAGCGGCTGTGACCCGGCGACTGACATCTGCGGCTGTGATCCGCGGGACAGATAGGGCGGTGGTGCGCCTCGCACGCGCCCCCTATTTGTTTACAAAACACGCGGTTTAAAACGTGGTTTTGCCTGCTAGTGCCGCCCTGCTGCCGTATATGTACAGTGGCTGGGCGGCATGTAGTTAAAGTGCTCGGTACAGAGCAAAGAATAGAGATAATCCCATAGTGTAGTATTTCAATAGTACTTTAATCGTAATGGGCAAAAAGAATAAATCCAAAAAACGTGACAATTGCATGAAACATGAACTAACCAGCTGGTATCATAGGGTGGCCGCCGAAATAGGCATACCCCTTTTGACAATGTACTTGTAGTACGAAACGCATCAAGGAGGAGCCCCTGCAGGCCATTGACATCAAAACCGCCGGATCACGGAGGTCCGGCGGCCACCCTATGATACCAGCTGGTTAGTTCGTGTTTCATGCAATTGTCATTATATTGCTCCTGTCTTACACTGCAATTTTTGTATGTTTTTTGGATTTATCCTTTTTTAACTATATGTCTCCAGACCTAAACCCTATTGAGCATCTGTGGGGCATCCTCAAATGGAAGGTGGAGGCGCGCAAGGTCTCTCACATCCGCCAGCTCCCTGATGGTGTCATGGAGGAGTTGGAGGAGTGGAAGATAACTCCAGTGGCAACCTGTGAAGCCCTGGTGAGTTCCATGCCCAAGAGGGTTAAGGCAGTGCTGGAAAATAACGGTGGCCACACACAAAATATTGACACTTTGGGCCCAATTTGGACATTGTCACTTAGGGGTGTACTCACTTTTGTTGCCAGCAGTTTAGACATTAATGGCTGTGTGTTGAGTTATTTTGAGGGGACAGTAAATTTACATGTTATACAAGCTGTGCACTCACTACGTCACATTGTAGCAAAGTGTTATTTCTGCAGTGTTGTCACATGAAAAGATAGAATAAAATGTTTACAAAAATATGAGGGGTGTACTCACTTCTGGGAGATACTGAATATACGTGATTTAGAATTTCTGGGTAGGAGGCGGACGTGCTGCACGCGCACCCTACCTGCGCCGTCATTGGCGGCATCAGCTTTTGTTCACCGAGTATCACTGACGAGGGAGAGGTCTGTATGTACACAATACAGATCTCTCCCCTGTCAGCTCCTGCACACTGCTTTGTATGGCTCTGCATAGCAGAGCCATACAAAGCAATGTGCTAACACAGTAAAGCACACACATAGAGCAAAACAGCACACAGTTAACCCTGATCGCCCCAGATGTCAACCCCTTCCTGCCCAATGCCATTAGTACAGCGTCAGTGCTTTTTATTAACGCTGATCACTGTATTGGTGTCACTGGGGATGTCAGTGACAGTTAGTCAGTTCCCCCCAGTGTCAGAATGCAGTCCCGCTATAAGTCGCTGATTGCTACTATTACTAGTATTAAAAAAATATATATATAAAAATGTAAAAAAGAAATGTTTAAAAATTATAATTTTTGGTTATATATTAATTTGGGTTATATTTTTTTTTTTACTAAAAAGATAACGGAATAAATTTTGGCCAAGATTTTTGATAAAATATTATTTATTTGCAAAATTTTATAAGAAAAACACTTTTTTTCAAACTTTTTGGACTTTTTCATTTACATAGCAAAAAAAAATAAAAATCCCAGTGGTGAATAAATAACACCAAAATAAAGCTTTATCTGTCTAAAAAGAAATGCTAAAAAATTCATATAGGTACAGTGTTGCATGACTGCGCAATTGTCAAAGTGTGACAACGCTGAAAGCTGAAAATTGGCCTGGACTGGAAAGGGGTGAAAGTGTCCGGACTGGAAGTGGTTAAAGCGGAACTTTCCCTTTTGGATGGAGCTCCGCTTTAACTGACCAGATCAATATCCCAGGAGTTCCATTGACTTGATGCTATACTCTGATTAAAAAGTGTTAATTTTTTTGGAGGGTGTGTGTGTGTAGATATATATATATATGATTTATTCCACTTTTTACTTGGTATGAAATGTATTTTCTGAGGTAATAAATAGCACTCCTCATGTTCGGGAGGCAAGCCTCACTCTACACCTCACACTGTTCTCCAACATGCTACATGGCTCTACCCTCCGCACTCCTTCCCTGAGGTATCCTCTCTCTCAGTCCTCCAGCAGTCTTTGCTCCATACCCCATCATGCACCGGGCCCGTCAATCTCGTCTCGTTGGTGCCCGGAACGCTGAGTGTGGGAAGATGGCGGCGGAGCGGCAGGCTGGTGCCGGGACGGAGGAGAATAAGGAGAATGAGCGGCCGCTGGCAAGGAAGGCGGGAGCCCTGGGAGACACTCTGGGTCTGGAGAGTATCCTGACACCGTGGGGTGGGGAGGAAGGAGAGGACCGGCCGAGGGACACTCACAGCCCTGCCGGCAGGAGAGCTGACGTGTCAGTCAGGGGATGAGAGATGAGGGGCCCCGGAGGATGGCCGGTCCTCTGCTGACACTCAGGGAGGAGGAGTGACATTTGGCAGATTCTGGAGAAGACAAGGGGGCTGAGGGGCCCAGGCATGAGATGAAGGGGGTCTGACATATGGCACTATGGGACCCAAGGGCCCCACATCTGACAGAAACCTACGAGCTGAAGGCATGGGGCTAGAGGGCCCTGCATATCACTGAAATCAAGATTGATGGGGGAGGTGAAGTCATGAGACCTGAAGGCCCTGCATGTGACAGATCCCTAGGTAATGGGGGAGAGGGGGTCATGGGACCTGAGGGGCCCCACAGCTCTAAGATAATGGGGGAGAGGAGGATATGGGACCTGAGGGGCCCCACAGCTCTTGCTAATGGGGTTGATGGGAGGGGCCCCACATCTCTAGGCAATGGGGGAGAGGGGTCATGGGACCTGAGGGGCCCACATCTCTAGCAATGGGGGAGAGGGGACATGGGAACTGAGGGCCCCACAAATCTTGCTAATGGGGCTGATGGGACCAGAGGGGCCCCACATCTCTAGCCAATGGGGAGAGGGGGCCATGGACATGAGGGGCCCCCACATCTTTAGCCAGTGGGGGAGGGGGGCCATGGTACCTGAGGGACCCCACACCTCTAGCCAATGGGGGGAGAGGGGGTCATGGGACCTGACGGGCCCTACATCTCTAAGCTAATGGGGGAGAGGAGGACATGGGAAATTAGTGGCCCCACAAATCTTGCTAATGGGGTTGATGGTACCAGAGGGGCCCCACATCTCTAGTCAATGGGGGAGAGGGGCCATGGTACCTGAGAGGCCCCACATCTCTAGCCAATGGGGGAGAGGAGGCCATAGGACCTGATGGGCCCCACATTTCTAGCCACTGGGGGAGAGGGTGCCAAAAGGACCTGAGAGCCCCCACATCTCACTTAATCCTGGGTTAATGGAGGAGATGAAGGCATGGGGCATGAAGGGTGTCACACTCAATAGATACCTAGGTAATGGGGAAGAGGAATGCATGGGACCCAAGGGCCCCCACATCTGACATATCCCTGAGATTAAAGGAGGAGGTGTGGGGGCCCTTGGGTACCATGCCTTCGTCTGACACATGGAGGGGGTGAAGGCATGAGATCTAAAAGCCCTCACACCTGATAGATCCCTAGGCAGTCATGAAGAGGAGGTCATGGGACCCAAGGGTCCTCACATGTAACAGTTTCCTAGGTAATGGGGGAGAAGAGGGCATACGACTTGAAGGACCCACATCAGACAGATTAACCCTGGGGTTTATGGGGTCCGTGCGTGCATGAGAATGGAGGGTTTTCACATCTGACAGATATCTAGGATAATGGGGTGGAAGAGGGCATGGGATCTGAGAGCCCCCATGTCTGACATCCCTGGATTTAGTGGGGTAAAGGAGGGCATGGAACCCATACAATTGACAGATCACTGGACTGATGGGGAAGAATGGGCCCCAGGATCTAACACATTTCCATCTTTATGTTAACGTGTGAGAAAGGTATGGGAGTTAATGGGTTCTAATATATGGCAGATCACTGTGGCCATAGTGGGTTTGGAGGGCATGGTAACTGAAGGGGTTCCAACATCTGACAAACATTGGCCCTTTGCTAACCTGCAGGTGGTTTTAGGGAAAAGGAGGCTATGGAAGCTGAGGGGGGCAACATATGGCAGATCTCTCGCTGTCTGTTTAATTGCAGGAAGCAGTGTGGCATAGAAGGTGAGGGACCCCAGCATCTGGCAGACATCTATGGGTCTGCTGACATACAGGATCCTTTGGGGGAGAGGGACACATGAAAATTAAGTTGCCCCAACATTGGGCAGGTCTCTGTGGACATGCAACAAGTTAAAGAGGAAAGGCAGGTAAAAAAAACCTGAGGACCCCCAATATCTGACTTCCATGCCTAGGTGTCTGGAATAAAACTTTCTCAGCTACTGACCCAGGCATGCAGATTAAAAAGTCAGAGCTTTCCACATCAGTGATTGAGAAAATACTTAAGGCATTGAAACATGGCAGCCAGGGAACTAGCATTTTCAAATTATGAGGTCTATAGTTTTTCACTTCAGGTTTCCTTTAAACTGGATGAAAAGTTAAAAAAATGCTTCTGTTCCAGTGGTCCAGCTCCTGTGAAGTCCCTCACCGGCTCTGGCATCTTCTCCCTGGCTTCTTCCAGGTGTTGGTCATTGGCTGTCTTGATTGGGTGGCGCGGGATGACGTCACTTCCACATATGCACAGGAATGCAGTCGTCCTGGCACACACAGTGTAAACTGAGCTCTACATTCTACAGAGGATTGCTACCATTTGTTTTAACTTCCTCTTTAAATTGTATTTTCAATTTTGCCGTCAAATTTGAAAAATCCTCTTTATTTGTAATGTGTTCCCATTCACAGGGCATACTTAAAGGTGAAAACATTAGCAAATAAAAACAATTAGCAGATATAATTGTGGCTCAAGTCATATTGTAATTGAATGTTATGAAAAATGACCTTTCCTTTTCGATCTGCAGCATGGTCATTTTGCTGTAAAATGGATTATGGCTACCTGGAGATGTTTTGTACACTGGTGGTGTACAGAGTGCCCCCTTAAAATGTAATTTTCTGGTTGAGTGATTGGCTTACTGATTTGTCCAGAAGTCAGCACTAAGATACAAGTCAGATTTTTGGCATCCCCTGCAACAAAAAATTTCATTTTTGGTGAGATACTCCCAAAGGAAAATCACGTCTAAGGGGATGCAGACCCTGCCACTTTCCTCAGAGCCCTGCAGGTGCAGAAGCTGATTGATACTTATGAAACCACTCCTATTAAATTCACTCTGCACATGGACACAGACAAACAAAAGGTAGCAATCTGTAACAAAGTTTGTTAAAATCCTTGCAATGTACATAGACCACCCAGAGGGGATTGTTTTGTTTTTTTTCTTTATTGTACATCACAGGACACAGGGCAGACCATAATAATGACTATGTGGTTTATATGCCACCAATAGGTGAATGGACACTGGCCGACCAATCGGATAGGAAGTCCTCCACTATATAACCCCTCCTACATAGGAAATACTTCAGTTTTTTCGTAAGTGTCTGTAAGGTGGATGGTCCCTGAAGTGTTGCATGTGCTCTTGGAGCATACCTGAAGGTACAGAATGGTTCCATTGTAGAATCAGGGACTTTCATTAGATCCATTCGGAAAGCTGTTAGCCCAAATGGATGGTACCTGAGCCTCGCTGAATAAGAGGAATCCTTAGGGTTTTAGCCTGTAATGCAGCCTTACGGCGCTGGACTCTGCATAATGGAACCCTGTGCAGTATAATACTGACCAAGATGCTTTCCTGTGGGGTGCTGTACAGGTCCGAGGCAGTGGACCTACATTTTGGGGACTGAGTCCCTGAAGGGCTGCATGACAAAGCCCACTGTGATGGGTGAAAGTTGGACTCCTGTTATGATTCAGGGTCCTGCGGTGGGAATGGTAAGCTTACATTTTCAGTATTTCTTTGAAAAATCTGACTGCTCATTCTCCCGGTGGCCACTGGGGGCAGTGTGCTGTTGCCTGGTCAGGCCATGCTGTGTGTATCTCTAAAGAAGGAGTATTGGACTGCAGTTTCTTCTCCAGCCCCTAAAGGTCATGGGGTGCCGCTTTCTATAGCCTATACTGGTGCAGTGGAGGCAGGAGATAGCTTTAGCTTGTGTGTGTAATCCCATGTGGCAGGTGGTTTGTGAGTCTCCTGAGAGGTAGCAGAGAAATGGAGCAGTCTATGCCTGGAAGATGGTGTGTATTTCCTTTGGGGGTATTACAAGACAAGACATGATTATAGCCTGCATAGTCCCGGGGGGCTTGTACAACTGTTTTTTTATACACCCCTGCCAGGGGTATTAGTGCACTTAAAGGAGTTGAGTCTCCAGAGTAGCTTGCATTTGATCTGCAGGAACTTATATTTTAGCTGCACTGAAGCAGCATGGAGGCTGCATTCAGGCTGTGTTTGCCGAGAATGGAACTATGCAGTTCTTTGAAACCATACGCTTGTACAAAGCGGGACAGTTGCAGCATTGTATTACATTTTTGCATGCATGCCTTCATGGTTTTGTTTTTTTTTTTAAACTATATTGCGTAAACTGCATTTGTACATGCATGCATGCCTGATGCTTAGGCCGCGTGCGTGCCTGCGTGCCTGATGCTTAGGCCGCGTGCATGCGTGCCTGATGCTTAGGCCGCGTGCGTGCATGCTTGCCTGGGCGGCGTCAGCTCATGCTGGCCTGGGTGGTGTCGGCACACGCGTGCTGGCTGCCTGGGCAGCATATGCATAGGCATACCTGATGCTTAAGCTGCATCTGTACATGCATGCCTTCACTTGCATAAATTGCATACTTATGTGATCTGGGTACTGGTATAATTTGCATACTTACATGCCTATGTACCTGCATAGCTGCATGCTTGCTTGCCTGTGCAATTGCATAACTGTAGACATACAGTCAGGTCCATAAATATTGGGACATCGACACAATTCTAACATTTTTGGCTCTATACACCACCACAATGGATTTGAAATGAAACGAACAAGATGTGCTTTAACTGCAGACTGTCAGCTTTAATTTGAGGGTATTTACATCCAAATCAGGTGAACGGTGTAGGAATTACAACAGCTTGCATATGTGCCTCCCACTTGTCAAGGTACAGAAAAGTAATGGGACAATTGTCTTCTCAGCTGTTCCATGGCCAGGTGTGTGTTATTCCCTCATTATCCCAATTACAATGAGCAGATAAAAGGTCCAGAGTTCATTTCAAGTGTGCTATTTGCATTTGGAATCTGTTGCTGTCAACTCTCAAGATGAGATCCAAAGAGCTGTCACTATCAGTGAAGCAAGCCATCATTAGGCTGAAAAAACAAAACAAACCCATCAGAAAGATAGCAAAAACATTAGGCGTGGCCAAAACAACTGTTTGGAACATTCTTAAAAAGAAGGAACGCACCGGTGAGCTCAGCAATACCAAAAGACCCGGAAGACCACGGAAAACAACTGTGGTGGATGACCGAAGAATTCTTTCCCTGGTGAAGAAAACACCCTTCACAACAGTTGGCCAGATCAAGAACACTCTCCAGGAGGTAGGTGTATGTGTGTCAAAGTCGACAATCAAGAGAAGACTTCACCAGAGTGAATACAGAGGGTTCACCACAAGATGTAAACCATTGGTGAGCCTCAAAAACAGGAAGGCCAGACTAGAGTTTGCCAAATGACATCTAAAAAAGCCTTCACAGTTCTGGAACAACATCCTATGGACAGATGAGACCGAGATCAACTTGTACCAGAGTGAGGGAAGAGAAGAGTATGGAGAAGGAAAGGGACTGCTCATGATCCTAAGCATACCACCTCATCAGTGAAGCATGGTGGTGGTAGTGTCATGGGGGTGGGCATGTATGGCTGCCAATGGAACTGGTTCTCTTGTATTTATTGATGATGTGACTGCTGACTGAGCCAAAAGTAGCAGGATGAATTCTGAAGTGTTTCGGGCAATATTATCTGCTCATATTCAGCCAAATGTTTCAGAACGCATTGGAAGCAGCTTCACAGTGCAGATGGACAATGACCCAAAGTATACTGCAAAAGCAACCAAAGAGTTTTTTAAGGGAAAGAAGTGGAATGTTATGCAATGGCCAAGTCAATCACCTGACCTGAATCCGATTGAGCATGCATTTCACTTGCTGAAGACAAAAATGAAGGGAAAATGCCCCAAGAACAAGCAGGAACTGAAGACAGTTGCAGTAGAGGCCTGGCAGAGCATCACCAGGGATGAAACCCAGCGTCTGGTGATGTCTATGCGTTCCAGACCTCAGGCTGTAATTGACTGCAAAGGATTTGCCCCAAGTATTAAAAAGTGAAAGTTTGATTTATGATTATTATTCTGTCCCATTACTTTTGGTCCCTTAACATGTGGGAGGCACATATGCAAACTGTTGTAATTCCTACACCGTTCACCTGATTTGGATGTAAATAACCTCAAATTAAAGCTGACAGTCTGCAGTTAAATCACATCTTGTTTGTTTCATTTCAAATCCATTGTGGTGGTGTAGAGAGCCAAAAATGTTATAATTGTGTCGATGTCCCAATATTTATGGACCTGACTGTATATGGATATGGACATATATCTCTTGCGGGACTGCATAGTTGGGTGACTATAGTTTTTGTTTTTTTTGTTTTGTTTTTTTCTACTTAAAGGGTCCCAAAAGAGGTAGCCTGCAGAGAGGCAGGTGCACTACCCTCTTATCCAGTACCCTCGAAGAGGGGGGGGGGTAATCTGGCAGTGTTTTGCATTTCACAATAATTAACCAGTGATGTCAGAGGTGTCTGGGCCACTGTGTTTGTCATTTCAGCTGTTCTGGTGGTGGAGCTGCAATAGACTACGGCCGCATTACCCTGTATGCGCCTGATCTTGTCTTAACTCAGAATCTAATCATGGTCAAGACCTGGTTACTGCTTGGAGGCGAGACTGCCTGGTTACACCAGGAGTTGTAAGCTTTTCCCCTCCGGAGTCTGAGACTGCTGTGTTTTGAGAATTCTCTTGGGCAGAGGATGCTAGGGCAGTCTCTGAGGTGATTTGAGACACTCAACAGGTTTGCAGGCCTTAAACCAAACGGGTGAGGTCTATCCTAGATCTCAAAGCACTAGACGTAAGTCTAGGCGTCCTTCTGTTCCGGATTGGATCGATCCGATCAGTGGTGGCTGCTCTGCCAGACATAAATTTTGGGTGTCGATAGTTCTTAATGGCTCATATCTTTCTATGCCAATTTTTTAAGCTTATCAAGGGTTCTGTGATTGCTCTAGAGAATCACCATTTTATTGTTTTGGGGCAATCAAGTGCCAGTAATTACTTGTGAGCTAATATGGTGAAATTTGAAAAGTATTATAAACAAAATCGTACAAAAAAAACGAACAAAAAACCAACCTACTAAATATGCACAAATTGGTTCGCTAACACCCCACACCAACTCATGAATAGTGTTAATAGCTATATATGATCAAACAATGGTGCTGTGCTCCCATGCTAATTAATTATTGTACTAAAAATGTGTGAATACATAAAATTATACACCAAACAATTGTGTCAAAAAAACAGGAATTATTTAAAGTAATCCCCCTAAAATAAAATTAAATAAATTAGTGACCAAACAAAACATCTATGAACAATATCTCATCAAGTGTCCAAAAACGTATATTAAAGAAAAGTCCTCCTTTCATGAAATATTAAGAAAAAAATGGATTTATTCCAACACATAGATGGCTGCGGGAAGAATAATGCTCTATTATGCGCTCACCTCCTTTTCTAGCCCAATATATAGGCTAAAATAGCTGTTTATCCTAAAAGGATAGATGTATATACTGTTGCTCCTCAATTGCTGTGGATGGTTCCACGCTGTAACCTGCCAATCCTCCACCTGGTGTTTCTCCACTGTATAATATCCTATAATCTGAGGATGGATTTTCCTCCTCACCTCCAGGGGTCTATTCCTCCTTCTATCCACTCTAAACACTCCTCTGCTGCCACGTCCACCAACCTCTCCGATCTCCCGGCGGCAAATTTGAAATTTAAAAAAAAAAAATTAAAAAAAAATGATTATTACATAGTAAAACATTGCTGTTTCAAAACATTTCACATACATTTTGTCCCTAGTGCTTTGTCCTGTCCCCTGCCTGTATTTTGGCTGGTTTTTTTTTGCCTGGAAACTTAGAAAAGTCCATGGCGTCCAAAAAGCGTCCCTTTATGTCAAAATCGGTTTTAGACCAGCTAGAGAACAGCGATAGTAAATCAGAACCACTTGCAGAATTGAGTGATAATGATTTGTAGGGAAATTCGGCATCAGACACTGAAAAAGATTCTGCAACTTTGCTTAGCGATGTGCGAACTTCAAATTTCAGTGTTTTTGGTTTGATTATATTATTGAATTAGATTTATTATTATATTATTATTTTTTATGATTATTTATTTAATTATAATTTATGATTTTATGTTTCAAGTTTTATCATCCGGAATGTTTACTAGACTCTTGTTCGGACAGATTTCAGTGAGTTATTCCTAAATTACAGCCTACAATAAAAAAAAAAATACATATTTCCATGCAAAATAATGGTACCGCTTTCAGCACCAAATATCTGAAATAATCATACCGCCAGGGAGGTTAATGTTCCTTTGCTTGGGGAGCAGTTGGTTTCAAGTTTAAAATGAAACGTAAGAAGCAATAGGTATCCTTCGGTACATCTCTGCATGAGGAAATGATATCTACATTGAAGCAGTTTCCTTTGTACAGTTCCACTCCAGATCTTTTGTAGAGGAACATTCTGTCTGTCTGGATTATGAAGGTCTAAGCATTGGATTACCAGAAGGCTTTGTCCCTGGGGTATTGAGTCCAAATTGGTGGTTTGGAAGATAGTAACCATTGATGCCAGTCTCTCTGGATGGGGGGGGGGGGGGCAATTTTAAAGGTGGCTACTATTCAATTGTCTCCACAGGAAGGAATATGGCCCATCAATGTTTGGAACTTCAGGAAAGTACGCCTGGCGCTGAAATATTGGATGAACTCGTTGTACAGGTTGTGGTCAGGTTCAGTCCGACAATTCCACATCAGTGGCATATATCAAGTACCAGTGCAGCACCAGGAGTCATGCAGTTCAGGAAAAGGTGACCCACATTCTGTCTGGGCAGAACAGCATGTGCTCTGTCAGTAATACATATTTTTCATATTCCAGGTATAGGAAACTGGCGGGGGGGGTTTCCCCAGAGGTCAGCGGTTGATACAGCGCGTCGTTGGAGGGCTTCATTTTTAGGGTTTTACGTTATGCACTAGTATGCGATGCGTGCTTAGCGCATTATGCCATTATCTTGCAGGAGACTTTTTTTTTTCCCCGTCTGCGGCTTACTACCATTTTAAGGTCAGATTTAGTCTATCTTTTCCCAGAAACCATTGTTCTCACTCCTTGATTGGGACTTCGTGCACTGCACTGTGAATGTTTACATGTTATGTGCAATTAAACCATGGCAACATCTAATGTTTGTGTAGTATTATGTTCAGCAGACTGTGTTCTTCTATTGTTGTGACTTAGATGACGTTCAGAGCACATTTTTTGCCCAATTCATGCAAAACTCCACGTAATCCCAAGGGGTTCACATACTTTTTCTTGCAACTGTATAAGGTAGATGTTATCCCAGTTTGGCTGCATAAGTTGAAATATGCTTTTTGGATATGGATTGAACTTGGAACTGTGGATGCATTAAATAGTTTACAAATATATGCATTATCGTGCCACCATTTCTTTAAGGCTCTATCCGCAGCGTTCATGGACTTTCATGGATTGTGTGTGTGAATACCCACTTTCTATCAGAGCAGTATTTCTATATGGGCTGCCTTCTAACAATGTGGTTGCTACTGCAGGGCAAATTCAGAGGGCACCATGAGTTTCGCCCCCTCATTATTTCCTTAACTCAATATACAGTCCTTCAGATTATAAAGGAATCCCAGCAGCAGCATGGCATGCGACATGGAGACTTCCAGAGATACAGGTGAGGCCACTGGTAATATACTGCGATGTATTTGTCAAGAAAAAAGTGTGGTATAGGGATATCTTCCCCTTTGTTGATTGTTTAACCACTTGCCTTCCAGAGGATTTACCCCCCTTCCTTTAACTGACAATTGTGCAGTCATACAACGCTGCACCCAAATGAAATATTCATCCTTTTTCCCCACAAATAGAGCTTTCTTTCAGTGGTATTTGATCACCTTTGCAGTTTATTTTTTGCACTATAAATAAAAAAAAAAGACCAACAATTTTGAGAAGAAAACAATATTTTTGACTTTCTGCTATTAAATCGTCCAGTAAAAAAAAATGTAAAAATCAAATTTCGTCATAAATTTAGGCCAAAATGTATTCTGCTACATGTCTTTGCTGAAAAAAATCCTAATACGTGTAAATTAACTGGTTTACGTGAAAGTTATAGCTTTTACAAATTGCGGTATGTACAGTTAGGTCCATATATATTTGGACACAGGCACAATTTTCATACTTTTGCCTCTGTATGCCACCAGAGGGCCCAAAGACTGCTATGCAGAGCCATACAAAGCCATGTGCAGGAGCCAACCGGGGAGAGATCTGCATTGTATGTAAACAATACAAGTCTCTCCCCTGTAGGAGATACTCAGCGATCACCAGGTGCCGGCAAGTAATCAGTATTTCTGCTATAGGGTGGCGCCGAACTGGTTAAAGTGTATGTCAGTACAGAAAAAAAAACTCATACCATAGATTTCTGTAATACATTTCCCCTTGTTTTACTCCTTTTAAAAACACTGCAAAGCACAGAAAGATACCTGCAAGAAGCACACTAAGCTGCTAATGTCCTTTTTTTGGGCTTTCCACACACTGCTCTTCAGTGTGCCAAGTGATGTCATCCCTGAAAAGTTACTCTTTGCTGAACTACTGAATTGCTTCCCCTCTTTTTATCTTATATGTAGGGACTAATTGTTTTGTAATTTAAGATAAGAACTGGGAGTGCCCAGGACAGCTCTGATTTGACATTATCCACAGGTATTTTTGTGCATTTATTAATGCAATTGCCGCACTGATTGGCTGGCCTCTAATGCTGTGTTTTGTTTTGTTTTTGTTTTTTTCAAAGAATGCCACGGCAATTGTAGTGTTTTTACTTTTTCTACATTTGGCCTTATAGACCTTGACGTTTGAGTGGTGGATGTAATGAGAACGGTATTCTTATGGTAGATTGACACATAAGCACACTGTAGAAAACTTCCATTCCTGTATCCTGAAGGAGTAATAGTCACAAGACGTGAAGATTAATGCAAAGGAGTGATTGTTGGCTTGTTCTAGAAGAGAACATGGAGCTTTTTATTACAATAAAGTTGTTTTATGTGCAGCTTTGACAAGTACATCTTGAACCTAAAACTGAACTTCAGAATAGTTCTTAATTTGCAACATACATTTTTAGGGCTCATTCACCTTAAACTGACAGCTGTGCACAGTAGAACCGCAGTTTTTTTTTTTTTTATTCGTTGTACAAACTGTACAGCACTGCTGTGCATGCGATCTTGTCCAGTGCGTTGTGATAAAATGTTTTTAACCTTTAACCCTGCTGCAGGAAAGCGTCAGGGCTCGTAAAGTAAAACATGGCACCTGGCCCGGTCTATAACTGGCTTATGAAGCAAGGACTACATGAATCGGGCAACGCATGTCAGTGATTTTTGCACTCCTGTACCTTTTAAGAGGGGTGGGCTCCCTTTATGTGCACCTGCCCCTGGTCTATCCTTTAAATACATGTGCCTCTACTATGGGGACTCAAATTTGTAAAGTTAGGACCACAGAATATCAGGGTGCTGTGATGTGGCTCTGGGGCTTACGTATGTATTTGCAAATGTGTGCTAACTAAACCCCTGTTTTTAACGCATACTGTTAGACAGGTTAATTTGGTTGTTGGCAAACTGGCTGGCGAGTTGATGTTTGAAACCCCCCCCCTTTTTTATTTTTCCTTTATTACTGACATGCGTCAGGGCTCACCTGTCAGGTGAAAGCATTTGGGCGGCAGCACTGCTGCCCGATTGCTTTCACACAGTGCCAGCCTTCGCTCCTCCATAAAAGCACATGCTTGGAGTGCCTACGCATGAAAACGTTGATTGTGATACACATGTTTCATATGACTGCGCACGCCAGAATGAGAGCAATAATTCTAGCACAAGACCTCCTCCTTAACACTATACTGATGACTTTATGATGACTTTAGGGGCTTTAAAAGCATCACCTATAGAAAATGTGTTTAGAATTGGGTACTGAAGTTTGGCGCCATTTCATGAGCCCATGCAAATTTAAGATTTGACATGTTGGATATCTATTTACTCGATGCAACTTTTTTTATTTTACAAAATAATAGGGTAATTTATTGCTTTTTTTTCTGCCCTAAAATTAACTAGTGTATTTTTTTTACAGAAATTTTGCGGTAATATAATGCGACATAAAAAATTGGAACTGCCACTATTTTATTCTCTAGGGTATCTGCTTTCAGAAAATATATAATGTTTGGGGTCTTGTGTAATTTTCAGACCTAAAATGATTTTTTAAACTTGTGCCAAAAAATGCAAAACGGCTCTGGCAGCGAAAGGAATAAAGGATAAGCCCGACATTGCCCTTTCCTGATGAGCAGCCAATCCGTGCATACACTTAATCCTTTGATCTCCCCTAGATGTTAGCTCCTTCCCAACCAGTGTCATTAGTACAGTGTCAGTGTATATTATTAGCACTGATCACTGTACTAGTTTTACTTTCCCACAAAGTGCTAGTGTTAGATTGACCGCCATATTATTGAAGTCCCGCTATGAGTCGCTGATTACCAGCATACTAGTATAAAAATAAAAATTCCAGTATATATCCCATAGTTTGTAGACACTATAACCTCTGCACAAACCAATTAATATACACTTATTGGGACTTTTTATACCAAAAATATGTAGCCCAATACATTTGGCCTAAATTTACGAAGAAATTGTATTTATTTGTTCATATATAGCTCAAAAAAATAAAAACTCCAGTGGCGATCAAATACCACTAAAAGAAAGCTCTATTTGTGTGAAAAAAATTATATAAATTTCATGTGGGTACAGTGTTGCATGACCGTGCAATTGTTAGTTACTCATTAACGCAGTGCAGTATAGCAAAAAATTGGCCTGCTCAGGAAGGGGGTAAAATCTTCTGGAGGACAAGTGGTTAATATAAAACTACCTTTCGGTCCCTTTCACATGGGCGTTCCGTTTTTTAGCAGCAGTCAAGGATGGATTTTTCTGTGGCTGGACAACTGCATTTCAAAAATCTCTAAAAAAAAATGTCTTTTCTAAAGTTAGGAAATTTCTGACTGATATTCAGCTTTAAAAAAACATTTCCCTCTTTTTTTCCCTCAGAGGCTATTGCTCCCGACGCTTGAGGCGTCTAAGGAAAACACTCAATTTTAAGATGGGAAACAGACACAAATTCACAGGAAAGAAAATCACTGTGGAGATGCTGTCTGATAACAGGTAAGTTGATTGACTTTCTCAGTTGACTGACATTATGCAGATATTAATGCAGAAAGTTCAAGTTTATTTGAGAAATAAAATGCAGAAATAAGTCTTCAAATAAAATGATTTTCTTTTGCAGGTATCTGCTAATCATCTTGATGGATGCAGAGAGAGCCTGGAGCTATGCCATGCAACTTAAAATGGAGGCCAACACAGAGCCTCGCAAGCGCTTCCATCTGCTGTCCCGACTGCGGAAGGCTGTCAAACACAGTGAGGAGCTAGAACGACTCTGTGATAGTGATCGAGTGGATGCAAAAACAAAGTTGGAGGCTCAGGTACTAGAATTTGTTATTGTGGTGGTCTATAAAAATCCCTTTAGCTCCATGAGCAGAACCCTCCTATTCCTTCTGTATTGTAATTGTACTGCCCCCCTTTATATTGTAAAGCGCTGTGTAAACTGTTGGCGCTATATAAATCCTGAAAAATAATTGTAATATTGCAGAACAAAGATAGAGGTGTATGGATGTCATTTAAGAAGCCTTGTCTCGAACTTTAAAAAAAAAAAAAAAAAAACATTGCAGGTGAACGCACAAAAAAAGGTAATTTTAAATGCTTGCTTGCCTCCTTTTTTTTTTTTTTCTTTTTTATAAACAATTTTTTGATTGTTTGCAATGTGGCTCTGAAACTCCGGAAAGGGTCAGTTCCCTGGCAACGGCCACCCTGCCTTTCTGCAAATTATAGCCCTCCTCTCTTCTGGGAGTGTCTAATTGCTCTCTGTACTTGCTGATCACCCTTGCCCATCCCCTCATCTACCTATATAACCTTTCATGCAGCAGCCAGAGGAGGAGTGGAATATTATAGTTTCATTTGAGTGCACTGCTGCATACCCAAGATGGCAGCACCCAGCAGCAGTCTTGGTTTTTTGGATATCTCCATAAGGAAGGCATTTATAGGTCAATATTTTTGATTTTTAATTCTAATCTCGATTATTTAGAAATGTTTGTTATTACCTTGTCTTGTGTATAATTTCCCACTTTTCTGTAGGCATACAGCGCCTATCTCAATGGCATGTTGCAGTTTGAGCAACAGCAATGGGAAGAAGCAATGAAAGCCTTCAACAAATGCAAGTAAGTATGTGTGGTGTTTGTGTGTGCATGTACATGTGTAATTAAATAATTTTTTAATGTAATCTCCTTTGCTGTCTGTAACTTTGGTTTATCTTAGAACCATCTATGAAAAGTTGGCCAGTGCTTTCACTGAGGAGCAAGCTGTACTGTACAACCAAAGAGTGGACGAGATCTCCCCCAACATTCGTTATTGTGCCTACAATATTGGTAAGGAGACATCTCGTATGAGGTTATGTGTAGTTTATTATGCTGCAGCTGGTGGTTTCCTTCTGTTCAATATTTTTATTTTTTTATATCTTTTTAAGTGTATTAAATACATTTAGAAGACATTGCCAGAAGCTGAAGACATGTGACATTTCAATTACAGCTTATCAGAATGTAGGAATCGCCACCTAAATTTTGGTGCTTTTCTTCTGATATGGCTGTCCAGATAAATTCTGTTTTGCAAACAGTTAATCCACAAGCTCTATCCATGTCCATGGTCAAGTACTCTGAATTTACCCCTTCTTCTTTTACTAGTCCTACAGACACACAAACACCAGTTTGGAAGAAAGCAGATAAGGTTACCGAATAGTATCAGACTTCAGAAGCAAATTCTGGCAGAAAATGCCAGACTATGTAAAACTAGTGCTGGTGGTAAATTAACCAGAACTTGACAGTTGCAAGACTTTTTAGTAATCGCCAGATGATCTTGCAATAATTTTCCTAACAAAGACCAATGTGACATATTGCGTAGTTTTGGGATAGCTAACCGACATCAGCAATGGACTGCAGGTAGTTCTCAGCTATCTAGAAAAATGTCATGCACTACAGGCAGTTCTTGGCTGTCTAGAACATTGTTAACCTTTTTTCAGTTAAGACACTCTTTGAAATCATGGACAATTTCAAGGCACCCTCTAAAATTATGGATAATCCCGAGACACCCTTTAAAATTATGGACAGTCTTGGGGCCCCCCATTCTAAAATGTAAAAAACTATTCTAATAGTTTTATATAATGCAGCAACATTCACACATGTAGGACACCCAACGCTAGAGGTCATGTATTCTTCCAAATCAAATACACTTTTGTACACTGTTTTTTCTCTGTTACTGAGCTAATGTGACCCCAGCACTGACTGAAAGGGGCAGGGGAGAGTGAAACAAGGATGCTGTGCAGTCAGCTGATATCCTCCTTATCTGATGATGTCATTGGTTGTCAGGACACTGGTGGCTAGAAGGTTGTAATGGGCAACTTTTAGACATTTTGCCAAGGCACCCCTGAAGAAACCTCAAGGCCCCCCAGGGTGCCTGGACACCCTGGTTGAGAAAGGCTGGTCTAGTAAAATGTCATGCTTGTCTAAATGTTCCTTTTTCTTCTAGGGGATAAGACGGCTATGGACGAGTTAATGCAAATGAGACTTCGTACTGGAGGTGCAGAAGGCCTGCTAGCTGAAAAGCTGGAGGTATATTTACTGTTCATGTCACGTTTTATTACCTTCAGGACTATCCAATGCAGAAACAACTGTTTGAACCTACTGAGGCTATTGCTTAGGGCTTTTACTACAGGGGACCTACTCTGATTAAGATCCATCACACAATACTTGTGTCAAAGGCTTTTTATACTTTTGTACAGCAAATGTGCAGAGCAGAGTGAGCTTGTTACTTCAATTAAAATGCTATCTGAAGCAGGTAAGGTTGTATTTATAAATGTTTTTTTATGAACATATCGTGGTTTAGAATGCCACATAATGCATTTCTAAATGGAGAACAAAATCCACCCCAGAATACTTTTTTTTTTTTTTTCTTATATCCGGTCAAAATTTACGTACATCTGTGAAAACGCATGCACATTTCCATGTTTAATCCATTTGAAAATTCATCAAGTACAGGAAAAATACCTGAGCTGCCAAAATTCCATTGAGCTCCCAAATTCTTCTTTGGGTTGATGAATTAGTATTTTTGCTGCATTGAATTTCCAACCAGTGTTAGCCCTGCCAGCCAAACTACGAAACTGCGCCTATCATCACCTCTGTTCCTCTCCACATTCATACAGTGATATCTTTTCCAGCAAAACAGTGCTGCTGTTTTGTGTCCCAAGAGCCTGCCCACACACTTTGCAGCGAAGGAATTGTCGGCAATGTAGTTCTGGGGTTGTAATTATGTCAATAGAAACTAAGCTTCCACCAGCTGCCTGTGCAAGAATTTTGGAAGCCTGTTGATGCCACAAGGAGTAGTAATGTTTCTCTCTACAGGAATAGTAAAAGTTATACTGCAACATCATATAGGAGGAGGGAAATCTGGGGGCAAATTTGAGTATGGCATGGGCATAAAGTTTAAGCTCTAAATTGCATACAACATACGATTTACTGCACTGTGGAACTTTACTATATTTGATTGCGTTTAAATTTCTTAAACAGACCCTGATCAGCCAGACAAGGGCAAAACAGGCAGCTACCATGAGTGAGGTGGAGTGGCGAGGGCGCACTATTCCGATTAAAATTGACAAAGTGAGGATCTTCCTTCTTGGGCTGTCAGACACCGAGGCTGCTATTGCTCAGGTAAAGTGTTGCATGTTTTGGCTATCAGCTTTTTGTAAGGCACTTGGGTGATGTTTGCATTTTATCTTTAACCTATTTTTATTGGAAATTTCCACAAGTACAAAAATGCAAGACATATACAAAATCCAAAATGATCAAACGGTCAGATATGTCCATTCTACAAAAATACCCAGACATAGTATTTGATATAACCGTACAGGTGAGCGAAGGAGAGAATACTAAGAAACAAAAGCGCTATATCATACATAGTACAATAGCAGATGGGGTAGATATCAAATAATATCTATGCTGTATAACCTGCATAATGTTTCAACCGTATCTTCATGAAGTAGGGCACAGCCCACAAAAAGTCGACTCCATGAAAAGAAACAGGCAAAAGAAAAAAAAAAAGAGGGGGCAGGAAAAAACTAGGTCAATTTGCCCATTTTGTTTACACTTCAACTTTGTGGTTGAGGTACTTTTTTGAGAGTGGTTCCTGAAAAAATGAAGGTTCCCCTCCCAAAACATTGGGCTTATGTCTCGCGTACCTATCCTAGGGGAGTTGTGTTTGTGTACCAGTAAAATAAAGTTTTAAAAAAGGACACGACACTGAAAAATGAATTCTTTTTATTTAACTGATTACCTTTTCTGGTTCAATGGGTTTCTGACGATGTCTCACACAGTCTTGGCAGTGTTGGCAGATCAGAGGAAGGAGGAACATAGTCCTCCCTCCTTCCCTCTCATGCTCCAGTTTCAGCACTGTCCCATTTCTCTTGCTGGGTACAGTTTTATGTGCCCAGGGAACTCTTGGGATGGAGTTCCTTATGATGTGATTGTTCATATTTGGATTTAGTCACACACTTTGGTCACACTGAGCTTCCTCTTATTAACATGCAAAACAAGAAGCCCAACTCCTTAATCAATAACTCTGTTAGGACAGCCAGTGTTCAAATCTAGTTTACAACTGATAATGAGATCTGCCAGAACAGTACAGACAATTATAGTAAACATTACCTCCCCAGCCCCCTAATAAGCATTACAGAGAAAGGAAAGCTGAGCTGGATTTTTCAGCGCTAGAATTTTCAGAAAAGACCATTTAGGGAGGCACACAACAATTTTTAAATGTTTTATTAAAATGATTATTATTATACAGGATTTATATAGCGCCCAACAGTTTGTTCAGCGCTTTACAATATAAAGGGAGACAATACAGCAACATTATGGTATGTGAATGGGAGCATGTAGCTCATATAAAGTACTTGTTATTCGAGTGTGGCTGCAAAACTAGAAGTACACTTTAGAGTAAGCCAGTCAGCACAAGATAACTTGAAAAACATACCAGCATAGGAAAACTGCATTTTCTTGACCCCATTCTTGAAAAGCCCCTACTCCACTGCTCAGTCATTTGCATGTAATCAACTTGTATTAGTCAAGCTGCCAGAAGAAACTATGGCAGGCTGTGGGGAAGTGGGTTGTTCACACACCCAGACAGGTGTGAACACTTGTAGAGGACGGTGAGCAAAGAAGCTAGAAATGCTAGAAAGGTTAACATGCAGCCTTTTTGTAGATATTCTTTTTCAGGGTAACTTTAAGTTATATTGAAGTAGGTGCCATACAGATGCACTGCTTTTACTTTTAAGTAGCTCTCCCATGTGGACATAGGGAATTACAGACAGGCTTTCCTACTATGTCACCTCTACAGTTGACTTATTAGCAAGCCCTTACCAACCTCTTGCACAAGATCTGCACCTCCCCCTTCTTCTGTGGAAAGTAATCTAAATCTCGCAGTAGATGGCAGATCTTCCATCTTCTGTTTAAAACTGCAGAGCCGCCTGCTTGCCTAAAGCCTGGTTCTTGTCAAGAAAATAGATACTGTGTGCAGTCAGACTTTTATTTATTCTAGCAGTTGTGCAGGGTTTCTAACTATGGTTGTGTAGTCCAGTAGGCATCAGAGTTAAGTAGGGTACACACTGTGACTTGTTAGATTGCTTTTGGCGCCTCTCAAAGTAGAGGTGAAAGCATATCCCTGTGTTGCAGATCATGGGGGTGCCGGCTTGTCCTGGTACCAATCCAGAGGGCTAGTAAATGTAAATAGGAAAGGATCGCAGCTACTCCCAACCAGCCCAGGTGAATAAACTATAGAAAGAGACCTCAGCCTACATGTCTCCAGCAAACCACACACCTTGATGCATTTTGTCCCACCCCCCAGGGTCGTAGATCTGATGGGGGTGAAATGCATCAGTGTGGTTTTATGGAGAAATGTAGGCTGAGGCCTCTCTATCATTTATTCACTTGGGCTGGTAAGGAGTAACAGCAATCCTTTCCTCTGTATCTACTAGGGATGCACCGACATTTCGGCCACCGAAACATATTGGCAAAATGCCGATAGGAAAAATTTTAGCTGATGCAGGTGCCAATACAGGAGACTGTGTACTGCAGATGTGGACAGCTGAGAAAGGCAGGAGAGGAGCAGTGTATACAGTGACTGGCTGTCAGTATATGTCAGTGCTGGTTTTTAAATGTAGTTACCGGCTTTTTTTTGTTCTTTACTATAGCTCACAGAATTAGCTGTCACTTTCCTCCCAGCTAAGAGAAACAAAGTTTCCTTTTAGTTTCTTTCCCTGAGTTAAAAGAAACAACGTTTCCTTTTAAGTTCCCTCCCGAGATAAAAGAAACAAAGTTTCTCCAGGGAAAGTGACATCTAATTCTGTGAGCTATAGTGAAGGAAAAAAAAAAAAGCTGGCAATTGCATTTAAAATTCGGCACCGACATATAGTGACAGCCAATGAGGGAACCTCTCTGTATACACTGCTGCCCCCTCCTTGCACACACTGCCCCCCACCCCCTCCCCCCTACAAAGTGGACCTGTCACTCATATGCTGTCACATAGGGGACTATTGGTCCCCTATGTGGTAGCGATAAAATTATAAGTTTAAAAATATATATATATTATATTACACACACACACACACACACACACACAAAAAAAATACAATAAAAAATTGGAGCCTCCCCACATACGCAGACATTTCGGTTTGGTTTTCGGCACCAGAATTTTAATTTCGGTGCACCACTAGTATTTACTAGCCCCCTGGGTACACACTGTTATTTTATTGTTCAACCACCTTTCTGAATGGGGAAAAAAAAAAAAAAACCTGACATATTCCTGCATCCACACAAGTGAAGTGAATGCAGGAATCCTTGCTGAGCTTTAGTATTCTGACAGCTGGACTTTTCCGCTGCTAGAATACACTGATCAGTGCTGCAGCTGATATATGAAGTTTTTTCATCAGGACTGTTTGACAGGCCCCTGGCCCCTATTTCCTACTGAGTGCCCCCAGAGCAAGCTGCTTGGTATGGGGCACCCAAGCAGGCTCATTTCTGAACTTCTGCTCTGTGTGTCCATTCACACACAGCCGTGGCTTGGTCCCGCCCCCTCTCTCCTCACTGGCTCCCGCTGCTCTCTCAGCCAATGAAGATGGAGAGTGCCTGAAGAGCTGAGGCTCTCGTGCACATTGCTGGATCGCAATGGAGCTCAGGTAAGTATTGGGCTTTGGGCCAAAAAGTGTCTGCATGACCCATTAGTCAGATATCAAGTTATCCTGAATTTTTGAACTTTGACATTTTGATACACACTGTATGTGTAAAGCCATTGACTCCCACTGCTGTCAGTCAAATCCTGCAAAGAGGGGGTGGGGCTGAGCTGCACTGTGTGTCCATAGGCGCGCACAGCCTGCCTCAGGAGCACGCATGTGTACCGCCATCGCACACAGCTTGCTATAGGCACACTTAGGAGAGAAGGAGGAATGGCGCTGCTCTGTGTAATACCATTCCAGAGAACAGGTAAGTATATGTTTTATTTTAATGAAACAATTGCCATTAAAACTGCTTTTTTCCTTTGCAGAACTATTCATCAAGCCCTATGTAATTCAGTTTACATTGTGCTACATGGCTGAGTTCACATTTTGAAGCTGGGAGGGGGGTAGTTGTGGGATGTGGGACTAGTGCTGCCTGTATTTCTTCTTTTTTTTTTTTTTTTTTTTTGTGCCTGGCTTATCTCAGTAGGGTGGTTGGCTGTTACACAGGCTGAGCTGCAGAACGGGGTTCTCAACTATACTCTTCTGCATTTATTGCACTGTAAATAAAGCCCTAAAACATATCCATGTACAACAAATACTTTTTTTTTTTCGTCACCTCGCCCCCCCCCCCGCAGCTTCATTCAGCTCACAGGAGTGAGGAAATACCAGGTAGTTCCAGTTAGAGCAGCACATGTGACAAGCCTGGTGTTTGGTTATGTTTGGTTACATAGAGACAGGGAGAGTAGTCTCATCCCCGTGTAAGCTGTGGTTAGTGTGTTTGCAAGCTAGACTTGTGACCACCACACAGGAATATTTGTGCACTGCTGGCAGCTGAGTGGAGCGATGAGTAAGTGTTGGGAAGGCAGAGAGCTGCATATAGGCAAACTTTGTTGCTATATTCCCTGCAGTAAAGTTTCATTTTAATGGTTTGTTTGTTTTACTTGACCTGTGTACAGCTGAATGCCCTGCTGTTTTGCTGATTGTGCATCAGTTTTGACCTAAAAGATTTTGCCTTGGGATTAACAGAATTGCAGGCCTAATGCATTGTAATGCTATGGTATATGTGCAGCTCCTCTTTAAATCTTGCCATTGTCCTATTTTCTATGACTGCTCCTATAATAGCTTGAATGCTACTTTATTCCACTTTATTAGTCCTTCAGATGAAGATTGTAAGACAATATCAATACCAGCATGTCACACCCAGTTGTCTTCCAGGCAAGTTTCATTGGTGTGGAAATTAAAAAAAAAAAAAAAAAAAAAAAAAAAAAAAAAACTTGTCCAAGGGGCTCAGTGGGGGGGCTCAATCTATTTGTCTCTCATGGCAATCTACTTGTCCTGATTAAAAAAAATAAATAAATATTCCCAGGTTAGAAAGTATGAAGGGTTGATGATTTTTAGTAGGCAGAGGTGCATTTAGGAATGTATGGAGCTTTTGAAAGCCAA